ACACCTGTCTCTCAAACCGAGACAGCCGCTTACTACAAGAATGGAGGTGCTTCGCCTTGGTAGATATAGATCAATAAAAAACTGTTATTCCTATTTTCTCATACTCTCGCCCAATAGCCCTTAGTTTCGGCATTATAGTAATTCGGAGGGAGAGGGGCTGCATCTGTCTATTCAAAGGGAGGCTCTTGCCTTTTTGGCAGACACCTGTCTCTCAAACCGAGACAGCCGCTTACTACAAGAAGGACATGGAGGTGCTGGAGCATGCCCAGAGTAAGGTAGCGGAGCTGGTGAAGGACCTGGAGCACAGGTTCTATGAGGAGTGGCTGAAGGAACTGGGGTTGCTTAGCCTGGAGAAAAGGAGGCTCAGGGGAGACCTCACTGCTCTCTACAACTACCTGAAAGGAGGTTGTAGCAAGGTAGGGTTTGGTCTCTTCTCCCAAGGAACAAGTGATATGACAAGAGGTGATGGCCTCAACTTGCACCAGGGGAGGTTTAGGTTGGGTATTAGGAAAACTTTCTTCACTGAAAGGGTGGTCAGTGGGTGGCCCACAGAAGTGGCAGAATCACCATCCCTGAAATGTTCAAAAATACACATAGATGTGGCAACAGGGACACGAGATATGGCAGCTATCCAGAGACAATTTCCCTACCAAATTACGCAGCTTTTATAATTTAAAATAGAGAACTCTATTTCCTATCTGCCCACTAGTAGATATAGAAGAAAAAGAAAAAAATACCACCATTTTAAGCATTCTTTGTCACAAGATGTATTTTCAGATACACTTGCCTTCATGCACAGTATAGTCTTGCTGTGACCTTCCAGGGTTCTGAGCAGCAGCCCGTTGCGTGCGTCTCGCACACTGATGGTGCAGTCATAGGAGCCCACGACCAACAACCTGCGTGCTCCTTCCTGAGCTGTGGCTAGACAGCTCACTGCTCTAGGGCCATGGCATTCAAAGGTATCAATTTGTTTATTATTCTGTTGGAGGAAGAAAAAAATGGTATTTCAGAATTAAAACTTTGCTATGACACTGACTAAACCACTGAGTCGTTTTTGCAGTGTACTTGTTAACAGCATCTGATTTCAGTTTAGTAACACACAATTTCAGCAGTGGTACAAGTTGCATCTTAATAAACAAGTTTCTAAATCAAGGGAATAACTCCTTATGTTAGGCTTCAATTTCCTCTTTTAAAAAACTATTTAATTATATAGCAAAGGTCAGAACACTTAAAGTGTTCTGAGAAAAAAAACCATTTCTAAGGATAAACCTAAGAAATTGGTGAATTGTCCACAAAAAGAATAACCAGAAAGAATAGTTTATTTAAATAATGATGTTTAGTCACTTTCAAACACCATGGGGACTGCTGATTAAATCTCTGCCAGACAAACATGGGCATGAGTCTCTTCTGTAACTGTAAATGGAGGAGCAAAGCCAGCAAACACATTCAAGTCTCCCACACTACTTTAAAGGGCAAAAAAGAAGGATTCACAAATAATCGGCTCGGTCAGAAAACTCTCATGACACATGGCTGGTAGACCAGGAGGGACCGTAAGGAAAACATAACAACAATACAGCAGTTAAAAGAAGGGCAACCAAAGGGACAGGGAAATGTCCTTCAAAAAGGGAGGCTGAAATGGGCAGCTTCATGCACAGACAAAACAAAGGACCCAAAGGGGCCAACAGTGACCATTTATACCAAAATACTTTCATTACAAATACATCCACTATTCAAGAGAAAGAATGGAAAGACACACAAAGTGGAGAGAAATAGCACTGCAACAGGCTTTTAGGTGCCAATATTTAAACAAACTAACCTTTATGCTGAAAGTAACCACAGTGCCATTTGCCAGACCTGCATAAAGGATCCGCCACCTACTGTGTAAACAGAGCACTCGATCTTCCAGTTTAAACTGCTCCATGCGCTCTTTGGTCTGGCAATAGAAAGAAGTACTTAAAGCTTTTTGTTATCTGAAAACAACTCAGAGAAAAAAGCCTGAAGTGAATGATGATTTTCACCTACAGCCTCCATTTTTTTAAACCAACAGAACAGGAGAAAAACATTGGAATGTCTGGTATCACATGGCGGCTTGATCCTGGTTTTAATCAGTACAATCTCTAAGACTTGACTGTACTTCAGCAACCAGTTATAATCCTAAAAGCTTCATTCTGTCAAACCTCTAATGTGTACAGAGATTTAGACTACACGCTAAATACATACATACATACATACATACATATTTATGAAAATACCCTGTTACATGGTCCAGGTTAAGGATTCCCCATGAAGTTCCCCACAGGGAAGTTAATGAACCATCAGCTTAATTGTTTAAAACCCCTGGCATTTTGTTCCCTGAAACAGATACTTGCTTTCTAGTCCATCAAGGACTTGTCACGGGTTGGATAAACCTTCTAATCATTTATTTATTCTATCTATTTATTTATTATTTACTTCTGGCTTCAGAAGTCCCAGTCTGCTCTTCTGCCTGTCTTCAGAGTAACAGACACCTGTTCTCTCTATAGCTGCTCTACAGATAAAGCAGAGAGCAGAGCCTTCCATAAGCAATGAAGTTAGAAATACAGCAAGAAAAACATGATATTCATGGCCAAACAACCATTCTGCACATTGGTGTTTCCAATATTTGGGATGGCATCATGCTGTTCTGGCAAAACTCTACTGACAAGCTAGCCAAAAGATTAAGGTAGTAAACCACTTGATGGTTTGCTGTTTGGTTTGTGGGGTTTTTTTCCTGCTGCACTCAAATGACATATGAAGTGGGGCTCATGTCCAACTCATACAGGTTTAAAAGGCTTTTAAAATTTATATTTGCAAAGAAAGACCTGCATAAAAATGCAGTATATGCTAATCAACACAAAGTGTGAGTACCTTGATATTGTAACAGTTGATAGTGTGGTCACTTGAGCCAGTGTAGAGTGCAGCATTCTTCCCATTTGTCTGAGTGACCAGAAGGCAGTTCACTTTTGAAGTATGTCCTTCAAAGATGGCCACACACTTCCTGCTCTAAAAAGGAAAACATAGCGTCTGTTAGCATAAAGGCCCATAATGCCTCTCAGGATATGCACCCGACAGAATACAGCAAGACAGCTTAGAAAAAGCAGGACACATGCAGCAATCCATCTTCCCTTACCCCTCTGATAAGGAGAAGGGGTTGGAGAGGTGAAGAGAGGTTTGAAGAAAATAATAGTATAAGAAATGTGAGGCACTTGAAAAAGCAGCTGCTTCCTTAGCTACATAGTATGGCTTTACAAAAAGCAACCCTGAGATTGCAATTAATGTAACACCATTCCCACAACCTTACTTACAACGAGATTGTAGGCACAAACAGTTTTGTCTGCTGAGCAGGTATACAACAAATTCCCAAAAATCTGAATAGCATTCACTGCAGCCAGGTGTCCCTCAAAGATTCCCTCCGTAGGTTCTTCATCCTCACCTGGCTCTGAAGATGCTTCTGTAGGACACAGACACAGGTACTGTTATGGGAACACACTCAAGCAAACACACTACTGTTGCCTGTATTACCAACCAGAAAAACTTTTAAATGGGCTCAGCACCTTAAAGTCAAATTTCATTATGGGTCCCAGCTGGAGAGTGAAAGTGACAGAGGGCAATATAAAATACCAGAAAGACCTTCATATGACATTAAATGCAGAAATATCTTTAAAACAGAAAAAGGATTGTACTATTGTTTGTCCTACAGCTGTACATAGACTGTGGAGCAGGGGTGTTTGTGTGGGAAGGGGCAGGGGCATGGGCATGTGGAAGAGTCAAGTCACAAAGCACTCAATGAGAGATGACATAAGCAAATATACTTCCCACTTAAGTTTTGGGCACACCCTTTTACCTTCAAGGCAAAATTCCCCTCTGGAAGCAGTTTGATCAAGACTTAAAGTCCTGCAAGACACTACATGCAAAGTATCAGAAGGAAAGCTTAAAAGATATACCTGAGGAGTTCTTTGATCCTCTTAGTGGTGATACGGAAGATTGTATCTCAGCCACACTGTAACACAAAAACAAAAGAGCAGTGAGATTGGACTTTGCATGTTCATTTTCAGACAAAACATTAGTGTAAGTAATATGCCAAAACACAAGACACTGCACTTAGTAGGAAATATGCTCTGACAGGTAAGTTCTAAATGAAACTTTGCATGAAGGGCAGCCTTGTTCTTGTATTAACAGAAATTAGTAGGTAACAAGACACATTCATTTGTTTACCAAAAAAGCCAAGTCAGATTTTATTTTCCCTCGTATTTCACTTCTGAATGAAATCATGTCATTGATGATGTAAGACTTTTCGAATTAAATAAAAAAAAATTTAAAAAAGGAAAAAGAGGGGCTTTTTACAAATACTGTATAATAAGCCTATTACTTTTGAGAGGTCTACAATAATCTCACCTTCTTTTCCCATCATTCCGATAATTTGTGTCAATCTCACTGGTGGAGCTCACTTCATCATAACCAGAGCAAGAAGCCTCTAGGACTGCTTGATGCACAGAGCTCTGTGAATCCCTCTTTGATGGGCTGTCTGGTTTCTCATCTCCTGACTCTGAGGAACCAACATCAACTACCTCACACTGAGGTGTTGAAACTTCCACTAGTTCCAAAGAAGCATCACTGTCATTCTCACATTTGTTTCTTGCTGTTTGAGCATTAACTCCATCCTCCTCTCTTGAAGGAATAGATGTAGTAACTTTTTCTCCTTTAGGAACCTTTCCACCCTTGACTTTCCGGACAGGCTTGGAGTCAATCATATCCTGCTCTGTATCACTGTTTTCTGGAACATGAGCTGCCCTCAGAGTTTTTTTCTTTCTTAACTTTCTCCTCCTCCTGTTCCCTTTTTCTGCTGGGACTACAGTGGTTGCCAAGTGCTGCTCAGAGGGTTCTGCTGACAATTTGGGTGTTTTATCCATTGGCATTTCTAGAAGAACTGAATGCTTTGAAAGAGATGTGCTACATTGATCCCGTAAAAATATTTCAGCCACTGTATCATCTGCCTCTCTCTTGCTGAACACAGACAGTGAATGAGGAGAAGGGTTCTCAGGAAGGCCAGACGTTCCTCTGTTTGCAGCAGGCTTGTGGATATCTTGGTTAGTGTGTTGGAAAGAAGCTGCCAGCTCTGGTAGAGATATGGTTGCACAGATAACTGGATACACTGAAGTTTTCTGGGTGGTCTCTTGAAGAAAACAGACTACTGTTAGATTCAATCTGTACAGCAATAAATATTTCTGCAAAATGGCTCTCACTTCATTTTTCTATCTACAGTTAATTGTGCATGTAAAGTACATATTCCTACATGTTGAAAACTATGTGCACATGCAGAACTGCTATTTCAGTCAGCGATCCAGCCTTTAAAAATACAGCTGAGGCATAAAACATTTATCTGTGTACCTAGAAGCAAAGGAATGGGGCACATCGTTCAAATTGTTGGCTGACTTTATGCTTTTAAAGTTCTGAAAATCTTTGGTGAATTCTACATTGGTTGCCCATGATGCTAGCACCTCTCCCTGTGTGCTCCCTTACCAGCTGTCATGCCTGCTGTAAGAATGATATTAACCAATGCATGCCAAGGATGACTCAGTTGTTCAGTGAGACAGGTTGAAGACCTTGTGCTTAACCCACCTGAATTAATTATTTCTACCAAGTTACTTGGACCTCACTCAAGGTAGATGAGTCACACAGCACTATACCTTCTATCCTGGGAATGGCAGCACTGCAAGCCATGAGGCTAAGTTTTAGTTTAGTTAGTTCATCTGTGGAAAACTGAATGTGTGGCCTCTGTAAATGACACTCTCCCTGTCATTTAATTTTAGTTAAATTAATATGAACAAAAGAATCCAGCCGCTCAGCTGAGATGGACTAAGGGCACAGGCAGCATCTCACAGCTGCTCCCCACGCCCTAAAATTCCCTGGTTGCATCTACAATACTGACAATCCAGAACAGGATGTTTCAAGTTCACTGCATTTACTGGGTGGATCATGCAATGCAAATAGGAAGCTGACAGTATGTCAACACTTCCTTGTTTCAGTCTCTTAGAAACCAGTCATTTAAACCTACACTAATGCTTAGCCAAAAGCACATTACCCACCACAGTACAAATTTGATGCTTTGGAATTATGCATCCAATTAGAAACAGCTAAAATGAGAACATGTCACCCGCACCTTCCTCAGATGGGAAATGCCAAGGTAAAACCAGAACTAGCTGACAACATAGGGTATATGGCATTTAAAGTAAATAAGTGGAAAGATGCTTTTCCCTGGACCCCTAACTGTAATACACAGCTACAAAACCTCATAGAAAACCCTCTATACAGAAGAAATGAATGTTTAGATGAGGTTTGAACAGTTACTGTGTTGAATTATACTGGGAAGAAGGCATACAAAACCTTTAAATTCTGAATACACCTCTAATATCATGTGTCACTCACTTCCCACTAAAAGGGGGAAGGAAGGAACTTGGTCACTTTAAAACAAAACAAACCAAACAGGAAAATAGGAGTAACCAGCAACTTACGAAATTTATAAATCCAAACGCTACTAATTCTCAGCACTTGGGGTACTGTAGGTATTAGAAAAGGAAGTACAAAATCAGCATGGTAGTGTAAGAAAACAGAACCACTGAGTTCCACAGGCAGGAGAGACTGCTGGCAGTTAAGGGAAGGAAACCACAAGCAATCGGCTCCTTCAATGCAAAGCTGAGCTGACCTCCTAGGGAAGCTGACAAACTACACGTTCAACTCCCAGAAAGCAAACAGTCTGCCCCAGAGAGAATTCCTCTTCCCCAAATTATAGAGTTTACCTGATGCTAAATGCTTACTTTCCCCCCAAACTACCAAATACATCTGATGGCAGACACTCATTCTAAATGTAGCACATATAGAAGATCATCAATACCAAAACTATGTTCATTTGGCAAACAGCAAAAGAATATTCTTGTTTTTGATATGTCTAAAATAAGTTTGCAGGAAACTGAAAAATATGCTCACGTCATGAAGAGATTTTTAAAGCAATTATGTAAGTAATAAATATAGCTCTACAGTGAAGGTTCATCTTTAGAAGTAAAAAAATTATAAAAACTTCTCTGGCTTCTCTGTTGCACATGCACAGACATCAAGAAAGTCTGAACATTCTGCAAGCAAGACACTTCATGACACTGCAGCTAGCTATCACTAAATCATTATTCTGAGTTTTCCAACTGTAACATTAAAGAAAAATGACATATTTTCATGTCACTGATGTTTGAACATAGCAGTATGGCAGTTACCAATAAAAACAGGAAAGCTAGCTCTCCCCTACTCACTCCCAATCCCCTCACCTGAGTGAATAGCGCCTAACATCCAGTTAGGAGAAGATGGATTGTTGTTTTTAACATCACAGATTATACTCTTTGTGTTTCTCCACCAGGGCCCAAGAAGAACACATAATACTCTCAATGTAGTTGGTCATAATTTGTAAACAAATATTCAGACATGCATTTTTCCTTCATAGGCTACATAGGTTTTCAGCTACAATGCTCAATAAATAATGCAGAGTAGATGACAAAAATTATAGAGGAGATTTTAAGGTTTATTGGAGGGTTTTTTTTAATTAACTGAAGTATTCTAAGAGGATGTAACCTTCAAATTCATGTTTATTCTATCTTTAAAGTAAAACTAGAAAGTCCTACACGAGTTCATAGCAGTTCACTCCTGCACGACAGACTGCAGGTTTGAGACAAAACTTACATTCTTTCAGGAACAAAATAATTTCCTTATTTTCTTAAAGCTAATTCTCTTAAAACAAAGCAAAGCTATGCATACCACCCTTCTGTTCCACCTCTTCTGCTCGTGAAGCACATGGAGAGCTCTGGAGTACAGAATTCACATTATCTTCTGAGACTTCTGGAGACACACGTTCTCGTTTAACTTGCACTGAGGAGTCAGGAGTATCAGCAGGTGTACTGCCAGAAGACTGGAATGGTGACGGCATGTTTACATGAACAGAAGCTCCTACTGGAGGTACAGAAGAAGACAAAGTGTCCAAAAGGGAGCCTGCAGGAATTAAATCAGCTGTTGTCTGAGATTTGCTGTTTCTTCTCTCACTTAAGACGCTGCAGGAAAGATGCTCTGAGAGTTCAGAAGGTTCAAATGTTTCTAATCAAAAAAGAGGATATAAAATTAAAAACACAGAGAACAAAAAAGTTCATATTTTACCATAAAATTTAGTAGTGCCAAGAGCTCATTTGCGGACAGTCGGGGGAGAGAAAAATTTGAAAATAGCCACTAGGTGGCACACCAAACGCGACAGCTCACACTCAAAGACCCCGTTTTGAACGTCTACAATTTTATAGCACAGTTTCAATGAGCAGACTCAAGTTAAATACAATTTTTAAAAGACACTGACTTCAATGAATATGAGAGCCAGCATTCCACCGTTGTAGTTTTATGGTATTTTGTACCTTGGAGACCCTGCAAGATCTGGATTCTCTGACTTCTCAGTGTACTCATTTCCATGGTTATCTGCAAAACAGTTGTGGTTTCTATCAGTCCTACTGATTTAACAGGCAGTTTTTCAGGCTGCCAACTTCTAGTTCAGACAGTTTTGAAAGCCCAGTGTTACCTGTTGCTTTAATACAAGCAACCGTTGAACCTCAACATACGCAGCCTGCAAGGCAGACCTAGCCTGCAAGAGACTGCTGTCCACACCATGCAGGGACTTGCTTAACTCTTCTTCCCTCAGTGAAACAGCCAACAGCTGGTCTACCTGAGAACGTTCTGAAAAAGAAACAAAATGCAGAGTCTAACTGCACTGAACAATAAACTAAGATACATTATAGATGATATTACAATAAATACTACTGCCTCAGAATGTAAAAAATCACATAAATTAGGTGGAGCATCAATAGTCATACAAGAAGCTAAAAAAGTGTATCTATGCACAGGAATAGCCATATCTATGTGGAAGAGGAGCAAAGTCAATATTCTTCTTTACAGGATCTCAGTCTTGACTCTAGTAACTATTTACATCAAAGTTTTGCCAGCACTGATTTAGTTTCGTTGAACAAAGTATTTCTCTTTCACAAAGATCTTTCGCTGAAGTACATGCACATAAAATACAAATACACACTTGGCATTAATGTAATGAAAAAGGCACAGACAAATTTAAGCAAAACAAGATTTAAATTATTCAGTTGATCCTGAAGCCAAGGAAAGGCAGCTTTAAAGAACCCAATGATAAAAAAACAGCTTAGTATTCAGGATCATTTTGGGACATGGGACTCATGTTTGCAATCTCTTGAGAAAGAGTCACTAAGCACTGTATTCAGTACTTCCTAAAGACTTCTGGCACTACAGAGATTCTCCAGGCAAATTAAATTTCAATTTGAGCATTTCTTAGTTGCATTCAGGTTATAATTTCCTTTAGTAGATTTACCACAATAACACTGATGTTAAAGCAAAGTAATGGGAAAGAGAGATTTTACTAAGCAGAGTATGTACTAGTCTCTATAACAGACACTGGTCAGCGAAGACAGAGGCTGAGAAAAACCTCCACCTTATCAAGTACTGAAATATTAGTTCCCAGAAGAAGATCCATACTAATTGCCCGCATTCCAAAAAAACCTTTCAAATACATAAACAAAGAACATTTGAAAGCCATCTTCTTGATACACATGTTAAGCATGTTTGAGAAAAACCTCCCTAATACCAAAATAAGAGCTTTCTTTGGTCAGGAGCAGGAAGGAGCAAGGCATTCCACATTCATTTCCACTAATGACAGGGAAGGAGGAGTAAGAATGTAAAAAGTATTGTCAGAGATGTCAAAAACAACACAGACCAAATTATACAGAGTACAAATTTTCTGGTGAGACCACCTAGAATCAGAAAGTGAGAGCTACGGGGCTTGTCTCTTTGGAACATCCATCCAAAGAGGCAACAAACCTCACTTCCCTGAGCAGGGGAAAGCGAAGGTCCCATTTGTACAATCAGGAACATGAACTGCAAGCAGAACGGAGGCACACAGCCTTCTCTTAGAAATAACTCGTGACAAATTAAGACAGAAATGTTCAGAGAAGAATGTGTTGCAGGCTTGGGAGCAGTCCACCCTACAAACTTCAATAAGTGCCCAAGAAGCTCCAAAGTAACATTAAGGAACTAGTACTTTAGCAAGTCAAAATACTATTGGATAATTATAACCTCTACACCAAAAGCACATATGTATGATATTCACTTACCTTTTTTACCTTTGATTTTTCTTCTCTTATTCTTTCTTTCTGGACTAGGGATTTCAGGAGAAGATCCCTCCTGCAAGGAAAATCATTAACAAAAGTTATAAGAACAAGTATGCCTAAACCAAAAAGTCAAGCATCCATTGCTTTTCAGTCATTATTTGTACCCATGAAAAAAATATACAGTTTATTTTGCACATTCTTTAATAACTCATCTTTTGCCCTGCTCTTAAATGAGGGAGAACAACAAAGTGAATGTCATGTTTCATCTCAACTAAATATTAAAGAAGCCAACAGCCTTCTACTCGCTCAGATGTTTAAGAACACACGAGTCAGATTTTCTGCTCTATAGTTTTACATGAAGGTCTAGAGGATTTAACAGTGAAGAATTAAAATTACTGCTTTCTGCATATAGCAAAATAATTTTGAGAATTTTCATCAGAAATATATATTTTTACCTTTGGATAAGTCCAAGACACTACTGTGAAACAAATACAGATTTAAGGATATCATTTTAAGTATGCAATTTTGTAAAAAGGGTTGTCTTTCCTTGTTAACCATTAAATCAGGAACATCTAAGGAAAACATATTTCTGCTACAGCCCAGCTTTCATTTATATTGTGAAACACCAAGATTCTTGCTACAAAAGCAAGTACTTCCACTGAAATATTTTAACAGCTTCTGTTTACCTGCATAGCATGCCAGGTACCAAACCAAAATTAAAAAGCATTTGTCAATCCTACTAATTAAACAAAGATTAAGTGAAAGCCCTAAACTAGGAAAGCAGAAATGGAAACAATTCTTAAAGAAAATTAAGACAAACAAGCAAATTAGTTTGATGTTATAAATATACAAGACAATCAAATGGAGAAAGTCCTCCTTGCAGAGATCATTCCACGGCTGAATGACCATTCACAGGAAAAGAACATTTTTAGCCCATCAAAACTGAACAAAATTGCTCACTTACTCCAGTTGCTCTTCGCTTCTTTCCAATTCCTTGGCTGTCATTCTGCTCAGTACCAGATGTGCAGCTACTGTCTGTAGCTGCATCTATGTTATTAGACACTGCAAGAAGCGAAGCACTGTTTGAAGCTGGACGATTTTCTTCTGAATTCTCCAGTATATTATGTTTCTCCTGAAGAGGTGTTCTCTTCTCAGGGCTCTCCGGCTCTTGTTTCGTGAGGCCTGTGATCTCAGAGGAGGCCTGTAGGCTGTGACTTCTTCCATTAGTCTCAGTTCTTTCAGACAGAAAAGGTGACAAAGAAAGAGATGATGTCTCCCGTCTGTGGTCCACTTCAATGTCAGTGCTTGCCTCATATCCAGACGTTATGTGATGCGAGTGGCTGGCTGCAGTTATTTGCTTTTGCCCACTTTCCTTTATTTTACCTTGTTCACTGAAAAAGCTATAAGCAGAAGGATTTCTGTCTGCTATGACACTGCTTTCAGAGAAGCTACGTTTTCTGGCTGAACCAGACACTGCTAAGGAAATCCCTTCCCACTGGACTCCTTCTAGAGTGGACAGATCAGATTCTTCACTGAGTTCTAGACCTTCTTGCTCATTTTGAACAAGAGGCACCATTTCTATGCCAAACCTTTAGGAAGATATAAAGAAAAATAAATACACACATTACAAACCAGCTAAAGACAGAGAAAAGTCCTCTCCTTCCCCACATACACATTAGTGCTTTAAGACATGCAGCAAGTCATTACACTGCTATTCTACGCTTTCCGTTTCAGCTGGCAATGGAATATCAGATTTAGTGGCTAAGAACTGACAGCCTGATTTCCAAGTCAGAAATCGTGTTGTTATAATTATTCAAACCAAGTTTGGTATAATCAAATGCGACATCTTTTCAAGGTGCTTCAAAAACTTCGGGTTTAAAGAAAATTTCAAAAGTCCAGTATTCTAAAACTGCTTCCTCTAAATACCAAAGCAAGCTATGTATCAGAATAAAAGATTAACAAATGAAGAGGGAGCATTTATACTGCCTGCGGCAAAGCAAGCATTCCTTGTAGTCCTGAATAAATGAGGAAATCAGCAACTGTCACAACCTGATGACAATTTTACATTCTTCTAATTACTCACACTTGAAAAGCAAATATGTTGTTACCATTCAAATTCAGATATTAAAGCAGCCATTGTGAACTGACTGATCAGAATCTTTTCTGAGCATATTACTATTACTTATCTATGGATAGACATTCACAGCAACAATCAATGACAAAGACTGTATTATTTGTATATGCAAAAGATCATGATCTAGCAAGCTTCATTATGAAGTCTTAATCTTAGGATTTTAGAATTCATTTCAGATATGGAGAAAACCAACCCTCCCTCCTTAGCATGCCCGGAGAGGCATGGTTAGAGCTAAAAGCTACCAACCTTGGTAAACCTTTGCCAAGTTCCTGCTTCTTCTTGGTTACCTGTTGGATGACCTGATCCCAGTTTACATTTCGTCGGGAAGCACTAAGAATCTGCCTGAGGGTGGGTTTAAGCCCTGACTCCTTCTCAGTCTCACTTCTCCGATGCACACTCACGTTCCGAATGCGCCGTGCATTATTGAGATTGGGCTCTGGGAGATGTGTCCCAGTTTTGCTCTTCAGACTAATATGTCGTGTCAGGTCTCTTTGCAGAGAGGCAGGAAAACCAAGTTTGCTTAAGTCAGGAACGAGGCCCACTGACTGGCTTCCTCCTTTTTGAAGCTCATTATCGGAAGGATTGTCAAAACCTTCCATTTCGAAGTGATCATGTGACTTGGCACACTCTTCATTCCCTTCTCCATCCTGTGTGGACGTTTTCAAATCCACATGCAAATGGTCCTGACCACTTGATAGAGAAACTGTGGATTCTATCTGAAATGTAAAATCTTTTATGTTAACAGAAGCAATACTTGAAGCAGATGGCTTTTCACCATCTTTCTTTTCAGAGGTGGCAGGTTTACCTTCAGGAATGGTACAGGGTAAACAAGAACTAACAGAAGAACCTGACTTTTCAACTCTTGCTTCTGACTTCTCACTCCCCATTAAATCATCATGGCTCACATCTTCTAATGAATCTAGTCTGAATTCCTTCTTTGCCAATGCTTTCTCAGTTTCTTCCTTATTCTGGTCACTTCCATCCTTGCAAGAGCTTAAGGCAGAATTTTGCAAGGAATGGTTGGACTGAACATCTTTGGGATTTTGTTCTGCTTCACTTAAATTATTAACAGGCTCTCCAAGATTGCTACCAAGCAAATCTTTGTTGTCTTGTAAGTTACCAGCACAAGCACCTTGCAGCTTGAATGAACAAGAGGGGAAACTGTTTATTTCCAAGTTCACTGCATTCAAATGATTCTGCTCTTCACCATTAGTTGAGGATAACAGGAGCTTGACATTTTTTAAGAGACTGTGTGTGTCTTGCTTTGGCAAGGATAACTTCACATCTGTGATATTCAGAAGAGGGGATTTCAGTGATGGCATCCTATTATTTCTGCTATCATCTCTGTCAGTCTTGTCACCACTGGAACAGTCTTTCATTACCTTGTGAGACTCAAGGTGATCTGAGGTTACATTAGAAGGGGAAGATGCTTCCAAGTTTTTAACTTTTGAAAGACTAACACTGGTTTCAGAAGTTTTTCCTTTCATTAATGAATCAGCAAGAGGCGTAAGCACAGAATCTATTTTATCTGGAGTTTTAGAAATATTATCTTCAGACCGTGGTTGCTGCTCTGTAGTTTTCTGGGATGGGTAAGGAGTCCAACGATATGTTTTATCTCTGGAAGGACTGACACTTTTTCCATTGGCTCTTGAAGTTTTGCTTTCTGGTTGCTTCAATGTAACAAAATCCAATGCCCCCTCAGAAGCAAGCTTATCACTAGTAAAATCGAGGAAGTCACTCCTATTTTTTCTACTTCTGTATGGCAGAACATTGCCTTTCTCGGGCCATGGGTACCTTTCCTTATATTTAATTGGCTCTGATGAATACGAATCTCCTAAGCTTCCAAAATTCCAGCCATTTGCACCATGCAGTCTAGGTTTCCAGTTTCCTCCATAACTCTCGGAATTCCAGCTAGAAAAATGACCTGTTTCTTCTGAATGCCAAGTAGAATTTCTCTCCCTCGGACTGTGATGCCAATTTGATGTTCTTCCTCTCCGCTCACTTGAATGCCAAACATTTCCAGAATTCCCAAGATTATACCCATTTGGAGAGCTTCCCGAAACATTTTGGTGCCACCCAAAGTGCCCCCTTGGGCCACTTGAGTGTCTATTTATACTAAGGTTTCTCTGAGAGTGTGAGAATTTGCTTTGTCTAGGACTAACATAATCATTCTTTTCCCACTTCCTGTCCCTTTGCGACGTGTTATGATGATGCCGTGATGACTGATCATAAGCTTCTCTTTCTTTGTAAGAAGCTCTTTCTTCTCGCCTTCTCTGTGATCTCCTATCATCACATTCTAGTTCTTGGCTTGCAGTGCTTCGTTCATCTTGCCTACAAAACAATTGAGAAAAACCTAAATTGTGATGCTATTCTACTGAAATACAACAGCCCACAAACCTCCTGCATTCTATTTGCACTGGGGAGAAAATATTTTTTTAAATTATTATTTATTATTAAAAATCCCAGACCCCTTATCTGCTTTGCTGTTCAGGCTTCTGTAGTGTTTGACTTTCAAAACTAATGTTGTACCTTTATTTAAATATGATAATTTCAAAATTGCTCTTATAAGTACATCATTGCTCTTATAAGCACAAAACCTACACACTACTGCTGAAAAACAATTGATTTGAGTAGACTGAAAATTCATACTGTATCACCCTTCCAGTTTTCAACACATTCCAGTTCTGCTGAAAGAT